TTAGTGGATTGATTTAAAAATTTAGTATTGTAGAGAAGATTCAATTCAGAAAAAAATTTTAAGCTTTGTCAATGGAAGAGTATGAGAGGAAAATAGTTGAACTTCATCAGAGGAACTAGTGAAGAAGATCTTTTAATATTTGAAACTATTAAAAGTCCATGCAATGATGAATAGTTGGTCACATCTTGCCTGCTCTTTATTAAATTGCGTGCCTTCTTTTCACAAGGTTGCACCATGCTGCAGGCGCCCTCCTACTACTCAGATTGACTGTTGTTCACTGTTTGTTTATAAGAATTATAAGTAGGGTGAAAAACATTATGACTCCATTTAAAAAAAAAAATTCAGTGTTTTTCATTTCAACTTCTTACTTTCTTGCATACTACTTGGTATGTAGTACAGAGAAAGTTAAGTAATGCTGCAGCAAAGAATGGCAATTTTTTATTGGAAAAATTTGTTTTATAGGTCCCTGACCCCCAAAAGTGGATAATTCTTCATGTAGTAAATTACTTCCTCTAATGCGTTGTTTTGTCAGAATTCCCATTTTGTGAACCTTCAATACCAAAAAATTGGTTTATGGGAAAATGTCTGATATGCTAGCAACCTACGTTTAGGCAGAATTTTCTCCAAAATTGAAATTTATCAGTTGATCTTGCTGATATCACCGCCCATTGAACTTGAAAAGGGTATTTTGATTTTTGGGAGTACTTTATATTAAGCATCAACATTTTCCAAAATTTTGTTGAAAAAAGCTTCAAATTTTCCCTTTAAACTTTTTCCTTGGATAGAGTAATGTACTCTTTTGAAATGTGTGGAGGTCCAATTTTTGTTGAACACTGAATTTTCAATACTTGCAAAAGTTAAAATTTGTCTGTCTTTTTTCAACTTCAGTATTGAAGATCCTTTTTTCTTAATAAAACATGTTCTTAAACATTTTATTGTTATGGAAGATCAAGTACTATTATTGGAAAATTTGAGTAAATTTCACTTAATATTACGTGAAATAAAGGCTATTTTTACAACAAGATTTTCTCAAAAACGGTTTCAAATTAAGAAAAACAATCTTGGATTGGTGTAGAACACATTAAAAGTGGGGTCAGTCTGATTTTTTATCTCTCTGAAGTTCTGATAATTGAAGAAGTTACAGTGAAGGAAACACTCTATGTGCACCACTAGCTTTACATTGGATGTTTTCTATCTCAAGGATGGTTGTATTAATGGAGTTCTTTCTGGATGTAAAATTTATTAAACTGATCAAATGTAGACATATTCTATTATTTAGATATATGTAGAGCCTGTAATAATTTTTAAATGAGCTGGTTAAAAATAATCTATATATTTAAAACACTATGCATTTTCATTTGGAAAGAAATTTGAGCTTTCTATTTTACTGAATTTTGTGATTTTTGCTATTAATGATAGGTAGTGGTTCCCAGATGTGCTATCACTCATTTCTATTAACCAGTTTTAAAGTTCAGAAACTATAGTTCAGCTATACATAATTATAAAATCTTAACTGAATGAAAACTTGTTTTCCATCATTACGCCGTTCAGTTAAGTCAAGACCTTCTTAATTAGCGATTGTATGTAAAAACAATGTTAAATAATTGTTTGAAACGTGTTTCTCTCGATATCAAAAATTCAAGGATTATAATAATTAGTGATACATTGTTTTTAAATTAAGATGGATATTAGAAATTTCTGCTAAAATCCACTATAACTTACATGACCAGGCAAGCTCAAAGTTCTCTTGGCAAACAAAATATTTCAATGAAATTTTCAGATACATCTTTAAATATATGTTTTACTTTTCTGTTGTAACATTTCTGCGAAATACAACAATTCTTGCTTTTGTGTGATGTAATATCAAAGGGTCAGCCTTTTTCTTGTTAATTTTTATGTGCTTCAACTCCTGTTGAATGGGAACAACTTTGTCAATCCCTGATGTGATCTACAGATCCTCCTAGATGATTAAACATAGTTAGAAATGTAAATACTTACTCGTTTAGAGAGATTTCAATTCAGTAACAATTTCTTTAGCTGGCTTTCTACTCCAAAATAACAAAAAAAAAACAGTGATACATTCTTTGTATGCTCCTATTTTTTACTCTTGCCTGATACTGACATGCTTGGTGTTGAATAAGGCTAGATTCAGGACAAGTGTGTTTCAGCCTGTATACCCAATGTTGCATTTTTTTCCACCGGTAATTTTTGTAACACTACTCATTGTGCTTTGTATTTTATCTCACAGAACATATACAGCATTGCTTACTACATTCAGTAATGAGAAACAGATTATTGGCTGTATATGCAGCTGTAAGGTTAATGTTTTTGCTTCTCATCTACTTATCTACCACACCTACTAACATATTCAGTAAAGAGATTTACAGATAATCCGAGTAAGTGCTGTTGTAGCATGTAGTTTTTTGAAGTAATTCTTGGAAGGTGTAAGGAATTCAAAATCATATCAAGCTGTTTGTTGAAGATACTATTGCAAGACATGGCTAAAATATTAGTGGTGTATATTATAGCATCACTAGTTAAAATGTATTCTTAAATCTTGTGTCAAGATTTTGACAGAAATAAAAGGTTTGGGTGTACCTGGTACACTTGGAGTACCTGGTACTGTCCATCTGTGGGCAACTCTAGTAACTTATGGGATTTTTTCCAAAATGGATATACCTCTCATTAAAAAATCAAGAGCATATCTTTCAAAATTAGTTTTCTTCTTGAATGTTGTATAACTATTACCATAGCACTACTAAGAGCGTTGGCTTCCGCGGTTTGTGCTTTTGACCAGTCCATCTTGTCATCTTTTGGTTATTCTTTTAGCCATTTTCCTAAGCCCATAATGTGTGAAAAACAGAAAACAAACAAAAAACAAAGCAATCAGAAGAATTGTTAAAAACATTATGTTGTAATAGTTATTTGAATTTGCACTACTTCCTTTGGGACTTGATGTGAACCAAATGAAAATATAGGGAATTTCTTTAAAGAAATATCTTATGTGCTTTTTCTTTCCTTTTTTTCTTCTCTTCTCTTTTCTTTCCCTTTCTGACTTTTTCTCTCTGACTCTTCCCTTCATTCTTACGTTCTGTCTCTTTCTTTGATAGTTTTGTCAGTGGAAAAATATTGTAAAATTAATTCTGAATTTTGTGGAAATATCTCTTGTATCAATATTTTTCATGCTTGAAATCATCTTAGTGCTGTAAGTTGTTCAATGTTTGAATGGTGCTGTTGCAGACTCCTGAGTGGCGTGAATCAGACTGTTGCCAGAGGTGTGGACGACCATTTTTCTGGAACTTAAGGGCCATGATGGATCAACGACAGTTGGGTCTGCGTCAGCATCATTGTCGTTGTTGTGGACGTGCTGTGTGTGACCGCTGCTCAGCTGGTCGTGCTGCTATTCCTGTCATGGGGTTTGAATTTGATGTGCGTGTTTGTGACCCATGCCATGCTGAGCTCAAGGACAAAGAGTGAGTGTTGTATCTGCATAGCGTTTTGTATACTGCGTGTTCTTGGTAATCTTTTGCATTATTTTACACTATTGTCTGTTCTTCACCTAAAAGCAATAGAGTGATTAGTTTTGCTTGACGATCATAATTGTGAATCAGTTTTTTGCATCATTACTCATTTTCCTCAGTTTCTATTTTTGAATGATTTACAAGTGTTTATGCACAAAATTACTTCTTGAACACTCAACTTTGCGGGTGCAGTTTCAAATAACATCTTTAGCAGATGACAAAGCACAAGAATCTTCTCATATCTTACAAAGTAAATACTACAAACTTGTCAACATTTGTGATAATAGCTCTTACTCTTTAACTAAAAACTTCAATGTAAAAATGTTTTAAGTTGTTCTGCCTTTTCAAAAAATATAAATATATGTGCCGTGAAAAAAGGTTAATCTTCATCGACCATTTTATAATCATGACCATTGAAGAATAAAGAATTCAAATTGGTTCACAGGGTTAGTCAATGTGGTTAGAGAAACAATTAGTTGGAGTTGGTTGTGGAGGCTTGGAATGAGACAGTACTTGTATGATTATTAGTAAGCCCTGAGGAAGAAATTATATATTTCGAAATGTTGGCGTAACTATTTATTTCTCTAACCACATTGACCAATCCTGTGAACCGATTTTAATTCGTTAATCTTTATTGTAAGAAAAAAATTAATTCAAAAAAATGTAGTGACCCATCATAAAGGAAAAATGGAAAGTTGATTTCATTTAGAAGTCAGCAATCTGTATTCTGCTTTATCAGTTAAGCATCCCCTTGTAGTGCAAAGTCTCTCCTTCACAATTTTGTTTTTTGTAAAATAGCATATGTCACAATCTTTCCTAAAATTATTTTTAATGATCCTTTATTAGCTGGTCTGTACATTTCTTTTTTATCTTTTCACCGATTTACCTTCTTCTCCACACATGCTCTGTTTCTATGTTCTTTGCCATAACAATTTTGTGCTGAGAAGTAACACAGAGCCATTCATTTCCCAAGTACTGATACTTTTATAAACTATTTATCAATTTCTTTTTCTCTGATTTGCAGCCCTCACAAACAATACATATTAAGAAACTAACTAGTGTGAGAATGTCTGATTTTCTGTAGAACCACTAGTTGATGTTCTCTGTATGTGTTATAGACAGAATATTCATGTGAATCTCTTCTAATATCCAATATTCAATTATGAAGATGTTTGATTTTTATGAAATTTTAAAGATATTTGCAATTTGAAATATGAAGAGCAAGTGGAGCAAATTTCATGCTTATATTTTCATAACATTCTCGCTCTAAATGCCTGTTATAAAATTGCTTATACTAAAGTACCAATGGTTATCATCAGGGAAATATCATTTAGGAAAATGCATTGTTAAAAAAATCTTTAATTAAATATGAAATATACATGGAAATATTAAAATAAAATGATTGGTGCAATTAAGCACTATAAATAAGTGTAATATAATTAATCTTGGTCACCGCCTGCGGTGATTTCTTTGTTTCAGCCACACTCCAATGGCCACCTTCCATGATGCCAAACACAGTGTGGTAAGCATGCACTTGGATGAAGCTCGTAAGAGGCTGCTGACTGTGGGGCAAGATCGACTCATCAAAGTGTGGGATGTGTCTGCCTTGTTGCAGTAAGCTGCCTCGTCAAATCTACCCGAGTGCTGTACCATACCTGTACATACCCTGTAGTCAGCGTGTAAATACATAATGAGTGCTGGGCAGGTTGCGCTGTGTGTAACTGTGTTTGTGCTGTTTGAAATTGATGGTATTATAAAAGTATAAATTTGTTACAACATGTAAAGTATTCTATTGAAGTTAAGTTTCGGAAAGGTTTTGGGTTGGCCTTACAGAGAGAGAAAATCATGGATTCGTGCCCATTTGTGAAGATGGGCATTGAAGTAGCTGTATAACTTACGTTAGTGTCATTCATCTTAAATAAGACTGCTAGGCTTTGCAAATATATTTACACATTATATTATGTCAAGCTTCTTTCATTCCTCCCATGCTAGTCTCCCTGGGTTACCTCAGGGGATATGCAAACCCCTTTTTTATATAAGGGGAATAAATTAAAATTGTATGTTACTGAAATATGTTGTAAATCTGTTCATTTAAGGAGGTTCTTATCCTAAGATCCCATGTTTTTAGATTTGTTTGCGGTGCCGAGTACACTGTTGTGGCAGATATTTTTTTTAAGTCTTCAAAGATTTAAAAGTTCAGATGTAATAAAAATATTTTAATGTATATGATTGTTGTGCTTAATAAATAGTAATAACATGTTGATGAATGTGGTGCTGCCTTGAGCAGTGCGGAGAGGCTGCTACCAGTGTGTTCGCGCAGAGAACAAACTCTGCTCGGTGTTTTCTAACTGTACCTGCTTTCTAGGGTGATAAATAATTGTGAGCAGATGGATGGAATTGAGAGATGAAATAATAAATTTTGTTTTTGCAGACTTGTTTTCATCTTCTATCCTTGCATTTATTGTGAAATTGGCAAGGATGGTCAACTTGCAGATTGCAAGGTCATACATCTTAGTATCTTTGTTTCTTGTTAGTAGATTTATTTTTTGTTCATGCTGACCGAGTTGAAGTTCATTAAAATATAAAACATATTAATGTAAATATTTATAATAGAATTAGAAATTAAAATTTTCTTGGATTCTTTCATATAATATTTAATGTTAATTATTAACATTGCTTTGTCAATCCTGTTATGGTTTTCCATTTAAAACAAGGTAAAAATCATTCCTAGAGACAAGTTGACCAGCCCTGTCTAATATTTATTTTTTCCAAAAAAATTTAAAACTAATTCTTTCAATACAACACTGGAAGTTCTGAAACGGTAACTGTTTGTTATAATGAATTATGTGTTGTATCGCTTCCCATTATCATTTGAAACTGTTTGAGTAGATAATGAAGGGGAATATTAAGTGTCTGCCAAAAAGATGAGAATGTAATGTGTGGTTTTTTGAAACTGAATGGGAAATTAAAATATTCATGCAGTCTCTCACGAATTTGTTTGCTTTAAATATCAGTGCTTATCACACTGTTAGACTTGCTTGAATTTGAATCAGTTGCAAATTTTAAGATTGATAAACAGCTGCCCTATTTAAGAAACTATCTGAGAGTTGGGCAATAGTATTGAGAAAAGATCTTCAGAGCTTATTCTAATAAACATGATCAAGGTACTCTTGGATTTGGGCAAACTACTGTTACCACTTTGATAAAATAAAAAAGCATTTGTTGTGTGGACCTTTCATGTTTAAATTCAGCCATTAATATTGTGTATCAGTCCTAGCAACCAGTGCTGACAAATATAATATAATGTTTGTACTTCTGATATTAACTTGTTCTATCAAACTATTGAAAAAGGAGATAGGCAAAGGATGTCTTGAAGCAGTCAACAGAAAATGTATGCATTCTATATGAAAGCTTCAAAGACCCCAAAGCAAACACTGTCACTTTCAAACAGGTGACCCAATTAATTTACACTCGGAAATGAGAACCCACGACTTAGCGATTGTCTTTTTGTGAATATCTCCGATTCACCAGACTACTGGGAGAGACACTAGGAAGTTAGGACAGATAGTCCTTCAGATAGGAAGTTTATGTTCAGTGAATCAGGCATCTCACCCAATCATCTTCAAATGCCCATTAAAGCTATGGTAATTCGTCAGTTTGTTATCTGTACGAGTAATGGTTACTTAAACTCATACAACACATGCTTGCGTACACTTCTCGCCCGACTGTAGTTTGTACATCTGACACGTGGATATACGAGTGGAGACCGTGGAACCAACACGAGAAAGGAACACTTCATTTTTGCCAATCAAGGGCTTGAAATACCGAAAACGATAGTCTTGATAACGGTCAGTCTCTTTAGAAAACATCGCCGAGTGCCAGAGCGTCAGTCGCGCGCGGCCATGGGCGCCGGCGCGGGGCAGGCGTACGTCGCCGCGTCCACGCACAGCTGGCCGTCGAAGATCTGGTCGGGCGGGCAGACGAGCGACGTCTTGCGGCCCTCTATGCAGAAGAAGTAGCGTCGGCAGCCGGCGGCCAGGTCCTGGTAGAAGCCGTTGGCGGCGCCGGGCGCCAGCTCCGGCGGCGGGCGCGTCCGAGGGCCAGCTCCGGGGGGCGGCAGGCGGCGGCGTCGAGGGGGCGGGCGCGGGCGCGGCGAGCCTTCGCCGCCGCGGGCGGCGGGGCCAGGGCCCGGCTCGCAGCGCGCGCTCCTCCGCGCAGCGCGATCCCGTTCGAACAGCCTGCCCCGGCGGGCAGGTCAGGCGGGCGATGCAGAGCGCTGCTCGGCCCGCAGGCAGAACGAAGTAAGCGGCCGGCAGGCGGGTCGGCGGCGTCGGCGTGGTTAGCCGTCCGGGGCAGCGTGCCGCGCAGTCACGGCGGCCGCCGTGCCGCGACAGCGGACGCGCGCGGCCGGCGCGCACGCCTGCCCGTCGAAGGCGTGGCCCGCCGGGCACACGTACGTGATCTTGTGGCCCGCCGCGCAGTACGAGTAGCTGCGGCAGCCCGAGCCCGGCTCCGCGCGGTACCCGTCCGCCGCGCCGTCGCACGTGTCCGCGTCGTCGGGCGGCGCGCACGCCGACTCCCCCTGCGCACACACACACGCCGTCTCGTCAGGGCGGGGACATCATAGATTAAACAAAACATTAAACACATGGTTATAATATTGCATTTAATTTTGGTGTGTATGTAGGTACTTAACACGACAGCCCGTCCCACAGTTGTTGATTTCCACAATCGGTATTTAAATCAAAAATCATATGCTCGAAATGAATGAAAGCCTACATGAGCGAGTTCCTAATACTCTTGCCAGGACTGTACCAGTCCCCATAAGTGCAACATTTATTTCTCAGAAGAATGGGAGATATGTTCAGCGAGCGCTTCCGAGTCGCGCGCGCAGCCGTGCCTAAGTCCTCCTTTGACTTGATGTTATTGCCCACTGCCAATGAATTGTTAAGGATAACTCGATTGTTCGATATGGACGAGAATCCGGAAGGCAAGTTCTTTAGAATGCACTAACGTTTAATAGAAAATGTTACATTTTTGGTTGTATTTTATATGCGAAAGTATCTCCATGTATTTGAGACAAGTTTCATAGTGATAGGAAATTAAAAGTAAGTTATCTTGAGTTGCCAGAAATTCCCGGGATTGGTCTTTGCACGATTGTATTCTCTAAATCTTCTGAAACAAAATGGTCGAAAACATTTTTGCCCGAATTGGCCCCTTTCCGAAAAAATCGATTTTTTTCTGATGTTTGTAGAGTCGGGAGCTATTCGAGCTCTTGCGTGAGGTTTAACTCTTGCAACAGATTTATGGAATAGAAAAATGCGAATGCAGTATGTTTCCCGGAGTGTTCTTGGAAGTATTCCAGAGGCAGTATTCAGTGAGAAGACAGAGATTCTCCTGTGAAATTGCTGACAAACGGAAGGCTTGTAACAGAATGATAGCCAGATTCGCAGCAAGAAACCCAACATGACTGGGCAACGAAATGTGTGTTACGGAAGAAGCGCAGAAAACGACGAAAGGTAGATATGAAAAAGAATCATCATGTTCGAAGAGAACAAAAAGGCGAAAAGTACAGCGATATTTTACTCATTAAATTCGAATTTGTGAAGGTGACACCACATAGGACAAATGCAGAAATAGCTCTTTAAGAAAAAAACATTAAGAAGCTTCCAGCAATAAAATTGAATATTGGGGGTGCAGATACCTCTGAATATCACAAATTATTGAAATATATGAGGGCAAAGGTCACATATGTTAAAGCGTCCTCTCAGACGTTCTTTATTTATGATGCATCTCCAAAGCAAATGAACAATTTGAAACAAACTATTAAAAAACCCTTGCTGCAAATATGTTTCTTATGCTGGGCTTTCACGCTCAAATTCGTTTTTTCGAGTCACTTCTTCACATTTCTTACAGACTATATTTTATAAAATGGCGGGTTCGTGGATATGAAGAAAATATACTGTACGGTCCCAGGAAAACGGAAAACGCAAATAATTGTTACATTTCAAGAGAAAATGGGACTCCTTATCGACACTCTAAAACAAGGAAGTGGTATTTCGAACGATGGGAACACTGTTCGGCAATTTTTCCAAAATCATGAGTAGTATACTAACATCACCGGGATAGATGGAATTCTCATTCGCCGCTTCTCAGTTGTTTTACAAGCATTGAGGAGCGGATATTATGTGAATACAGAAGCTTTCAGAGAAAACACTTTTGAAACAGTAAAGGTTTGTGTCAGTTTATACGGATGTGTACATCACGCCTATAACAGTCAGTGCACAAAATATTAATTCATGACGCCAATGTCATTAAGGAAATGATTGTCCCAATAGGACAACTGTCCGAAGACACGTAGGATGCCCGACACAAAGACTTCAAGTCATGTAGAGAGAGAAATACTCGATTATCATCTTGAGTAAGTGGCAACGAAGATCTGCTTCATTTCCTCTTAATTTCTTCTGAGTCAGTAATAAAAAGCATCCGGCCACTATCAATTAAGGAAACTGAACAGCTATTGACGAAAGTTTTGAAGTTGTGTACGTTCCTGGAAGTGATGTGCCACGTGAAGGTAGAATAGCAGATTCAGAGAGCGATTGTCTACTATGGTAATTTTTCTTTGTTATTACTTTTTATATTTTTTATTTGCACTATTAGGTATGAATTAGAATCAGAATATTTCATTTTGAGTTATTGTCTCATGAATATTTAGTAGGAGTAGGCAATTACATACAATATCTCTTAAGTAGTTCCAATATTGATAACCTAATTCTTATCAAGACTCGGGGCAATGAAATCATTATTATATTTCGTCCCTACATTACAATATAATGAAAAATGGCGCAAGGAATTATTCTGGCCATTTTCAACGCCGTCGGCGTGACCGTTCTCTTAATAACACTTTAATGCCGCTAGATGCAGGCAATCAACCACCGTGCGTCCCCGCCTCGCGGCCGTGTGTTAAAGGGGCACGTGTGGTTGGCACGTGGACATCCCCACGCCTTGTTCTTGACTTCCCAACCTGAGTTCTCTCATCGTCACACAGCAACATATCCTGGGACATCGTAACGACGCATGCTATGTTCTGGCCTGATCGGGAATCGAACCCGGGGCCGCGTAATGTATGTATGTGTATATATATATGTGCAGGTAATAATTAGCTAAAATTGTTTCCCTGTAACAAGTGCGTGGGTTTTTTCATTTTTATTAATAACATTTTACAAAAAACTCTTCGTAACATTTTGCTCTTACTGTAAATCAGAGAAACGACATTCAAGCCGCACTTTACTGCTTCTCTATTTCAAACCACTTACTTTTAATTATAATTATTTTCTCTAAATTTTCAATCTATATCTAAAAGCGTACACTCATTTCCTAGCGGTCCTTAGTCGAACGCATACCACGCAAGGTGGGAAGCACGGCATGTTCAAAGTTTAAAGACTATATATATATATAATATATATATATATATATATATATATATATATATAAATATATATAATATATATATATTATAAATATTTAAAGGATATATATATATATATTAAGAAGGATATATATATTTATATACTCTTTATTATTTAAATTAAATTATATTAGTTTGCATTTGTAAATCTTTTCAAAGACTTAATATGGTTGTCCACAATAATGTACTTGAGCTTCCCATTCGGTTTAGGTTTTTGTCAGTTTTCCCCCTGATATAATTCAGGCAAATGCTGAGATGGCCCCTTGTTTTGTTTCTGGACGTAAATGTAGCTTCACTATGCGCAACGTTTTGTTTGAACTCTCTTTTGGCTTGTAGTACTAGGAGTAGAGGTTGGACGAGTTACTAATTTTGTTAGGAATGCAGAAAATCAAATTTGCAGTTCGTTTACCGTTGCAAATTTTAGTTTTCTATAACTCCGGAAACGAAAATGTTTAGTTTTTCAAATTTGTATCTCACGCTTTTTTAAAAATTTTATTATTTACTCTTTAACTTTTACTATCTTTTCACAATTTATGTTAAATGATGGGAAGGATTCTGGAACTTTAAGAAAATGTGCGCAGATCTTCTCCCCATCGTCACATACAGTCTTTACTGTTTTTGGCTAAATAAAAATAACAAAATAAATAAATCTAAAACTCAACGAGGCGCGCTCACCTTGGGTGCGCCAATGACTACCTAATATGAAATTAAACAAGCTTCGATCTTTGAAGGAGAGAATTTCAAGATCGCAATATTTCCTCAATATGTAACTTCTATCTGAACAATTTCATTTTTTAACTCGTTTAGTTCTATTACATGTATTAAAAATTCAGAATAGAAAATGAAGCTTATTTTTCACCGTAAGCGCCTTAAACGGAATAGAAACTGATAAAATCTATTCGGGTACATAAAACGCATCCTTGTTTCGATTTTCGATTTCATGTGCCTTGCTAGGTTGGCGTTTAGGAGTGTGGATTTTGGCTCTTGTTGAAGAGAATGTCGTTCCAGTTCAAAACACGAGCTGAAATTCAAAGGCCGTGCTACTCACGGAACGAAGGCGAATGCCAATTGAGTTGAAATAAGCTGCGCGCTTTCTCCAAGAATCATGCACGCAAATGCCTATGTTGCTTCTGCCTTAACCGTCCCTGAGCGGGGATCGTAAATTCCTTGGAAGGTGTATTATACTAGGAGAGAGGTGGACGGCAGAGAGGACACTGAAGCAGAAATACAAGGTAGATACACAGATATGCTTGCATTTGGCGTTAACATTCATTCGTTGTAGTACGTTGTCCTTGTTGCTGCGTGGTTAAACACGATTCTGTTGTGATTAAGTGCTACGATATTCTTATTTTAATAATCGTAGGATTGAATAAGAGTTGTAACGACTTCCTTGGGGAATATAAACATAATATATTATTATTTTCTTTTTGAAAAATATATGCAACACAAGAAAAATATACTGCAATTGCACTTTATCACTTCAGACTTTTGAGAATCAGTTTGTGAACCCGAATTAAAAACA